GCATTTTCCAATTAGCAGCGACGCACGCAGCAGATGATTCGTCCTTCTAACCGTTGTCTTGGACTCAATGCTAACCAGTACAGAGCTGCACTGAATAGCACAAGTGCCTCGGAGGTAAATGAGCTTGGATAGGTGTACCATCAGCAGCAACGAGATGGACAAAAAATCTACTTATTTTTTCAGTTTCTTGCGCTTCCCCTTAAAATGTATACCTTTCGTGCCAGCGTTGTGTGTTGTTCATGATTTAAAAGGAGGCATTTTCGAAGGCACTTATATTACTGGACATCCATACGAAACGCTTGTAGAAGACGATAGATATTGTTGTCTCGGAACATCTCAAGATTTGACCCGCAAATTATCTAGCGTTTACAGGCGTGCAGAGCTTTCGTTTACCACTGTGTAAAGCAGAAAAGAATGAAATTCCTAAACTGATAAACAGTTCTAAAATCTTTCACACTGCTTTATCGCACGTTAAACGCATTCTAAACGAAAAAAGGAAACAAAGCTGTTTGCTGTTCGCGTATTCACTGGTCAGTGATAATGAGTGAAATCTCTATTAAGAAAAGCAATAAATTTGTGACAGTAGCAGTATGATGACTATGAATGTTTGCTGCAGCTATGTATAAGGACTATTCAATAGCAAATGATTTAAAAATAACAGTAGTACCTTGCATTCATAACTTCACTTCAGCCGAACAGCCAGCATTCTAAGATTTCAGCCTTCTAGCTTTTGTGGTTCTCGAATTATTAATTTTGGCGCCGAAGCTTTCACTTATCCGTACATGAATCCAAGGTGTGCACGGGGATTTGTACGCGGGCAAGGAGCATTACCTTAAAATTCCAGCCTTCTACCTTTTGCGGTTCCTGCGTCATTAGTTTTGGCGCCGAAAATCCCATGTCTCTATCTGAATGCTAGGCATACGGGTGGGGAAGACGGTGACGAATTTCTTGAGTTTGTCGGGTTATACATGGGCAGGGGGCATTCTCCTAAACTTTCAGTTTTCTAACTTTTTTGGTCCTCGAGTTGTTGATTCAGGCGCCAAAGTTTTCACGGACCGCAAGTGAGACCTAAGCGTACATGGACACTGAAGTTGAGCTTGCGAAATCACACTTAGGTAGGAATCTCCTTCCCTCTTAAAATCCCAGCCTCCTAGCTTGGGTATCCTTACCCCCCGCGTGGCATTGGACTTGGATGCTGCGGGCGAGGTGTCGCCGGGGGGGGGGGGGGGGGGGGGG